GTGGTTTGGGAGGCGGGGGTGACAGCATGAGGCAGCAGCAGGGCAGGCAGCGGGGCTGGCAGCGGACTGGTGCCTGCCCAGCGCATCCCTCTATCCTCTGGCACTCACCCCTTCCATCGATGTGCGCAGGAAGTGCTCCACCACCTCCGCCGTATCCGAGCTGCACACCATGAAGCTGACCGGCACCCCGCGCCCGCTCTCATCTTGCACCTGCAAGTACCAGGATCAGGTGAGGGTGCTACAGCCCTGGTGCGCGCCGGTGTGGCTGCATACACAACCCAGCCTGGCTGCTAGGCTGCTAGGCTGCAGGCTCACCACCAACGCGTAGAGTGGGTAGCCGTATTTGTTGACGCCAAACGTGGCGTCCATGAACACCAGCCGCCGCCCAAACTGGTCCAGCATGCGCGCCTGGAAGGACACTTGCATCACAATCACCAGCGGCTGCTCCCCGCTGCGCCTGCCAGCCTGTTTGTAGGGCTGGTAGAACAGCACAGAGCCCTCCCTTCTCAGCTCATCAATCAGAGCCGCCATCGCCTGCACGTCGCTGGTGAGGCCCAAGCCTTCAGCACGCCGCAGCTTCTTTATCAGCACATGGGCACAATCGTTGCAAAGGTAGGCTCATGCGCGCTGCTGCGCTCAGCCATTGCCCCTACGCCTTGGCCAGCAATGCAGCTGGCATCCCCTCCTGCGCACCAGCTCCTGCTGCGTCATGCCAACCAGCTGCTGCCCCCTCACCTGCTACCCAGAGCGGCGATGGGTGGACGTGCGAGCTGGAGGGCCAGAAGATCCGTCACAACTTCAAAGGCGCCTACCTGCATGATCCGGCCGACCCGCTGGGCCTCGGGGGCGGGACTACTGGGCTGCAGCACTTCAGCAGCGCCCGTGTTAGCATCATCCCGCGGCAGATCTATGTGCTGATAAAGAAGCTGCGGCGTGCTGAAGGCTTGGGCCTCACCAGCGACGTGCAGGCGATGGCGGCTCTGATTGATGAGCTGAGAAGGGAGGGCTCTGTGCTGTTCTACCAGCCCTACAAACAGGCTGGCAGGCGCAGCGGGGAGCAGCCGCTGGTGATTGTGATGCAAGTGTCCTTCCAGGCGCGCATGCTGGACCAGTTTGGGCGGCGGCTGGTGTTCATGGACGCCACGTTTGGCATCAACAAATACGGCTACCCACTCTACGCGTTGGTGGTGAGCCTGCAGCCTAGCAGCCTAGCAGCCAGGCTGGGTTGTGTATGCAGCCACACCGGCGCGCACCAGGGCTGTAGCACCCTCACCTGATCCTGGTACTTGCAGGTGCAAGATGAGAGCGGGCGCGGGGTGCCGGTCAGCTTCATGGTGTGCAGCTCGGATACGGCGGAGGTGGTGGAGCACTTCCTGCGCACATCGATGGAAGGGGTGAGTGCCAGAGGATAGAGGGATGCGCTGGGCAGGCACCAGTCCGCTGCCAGCCCCGCTGCCTGCCCTGCTGCTGCCTCATGCTGTCACCCCCGCCTCCCAAACCACCAATGAGCAGGCACAGGCGGCAGGGGATGGCACCTTCAAGTACAAGTCCATCATGATCGACAAGTCGAAGACGGAGATTGCAGCGGTGGACCAGCTGGTGTCCACCGGGCATGCCGAAGGATACCTGCTCTGCTACTTCCACTTCCTGCAAGATTGGGAACGCTTCCTCAGCAGCGGCGACGCGGGTGTGCCTAAGGCTGAGCGGCACCGCATCATGCTGGCGCTGGCTCGCCTAGCCCACATGCAAGACCAAGCGCCGTTCAAACAAGAGGTGGGCAGCAACGCAGCGCATGGCCAGCAATCTACAACTGCTCACCCACGCACTACTTGCATGCGCCACTGCCCTGCGCCCTGCAGCTGGCCTTCTTCATCTTGAGCAACAGCCAGCAGCACCTCCCGGTGGCGCAG